ATTTTTATATCTAATTATAAAATTTTAAATTTCAAACATGGTTAAAATCAATTAGATCTATAAACATATGAAAATCTTGAAATGGATGGTGTAGATAAAATGTTGTAAAATGCACTATTTCTGAGACTTAAAGTCTTTTTATGTCATACATCTCGATGTCGAGATGATCAATCAAACAGTTTTTCAACATTAAAACTACCTTTTTCGATCGATTTTTGAGGTGCATCTGTAGTTCTATATTATAAGGTTGCATCATTATATAAACTTTTTCCTTATTTTATACTAGTATTATCAATGCTTTGTTATTATGAATACAATATGGGTGTGGTTTCTATAAGGTTGCAACCTTAAACAATCCAATTAAACCTCCAAATTTTATTATAACATCTAATTTTAGTGTCAAACATTCTTAGGATTGTCTGAAAATCTATTGTCATATCTAATTATAAAATTTTGAACTCCAAAAATGGTTAAAATCAAGTAGATCGATAAACATATGAAAATCTTGAAAATGGACTGCTAGATAATGTGTTGCAAGACACTGTTTCTGGGACTCAAAATCTTATTGTTTTTTCTATATTCGTACATCTAGATGTTGAGATGATCAATTAAAGGGTTTTTCAACATTAAAACAACCTTTTCTGATCGATTTTTGAGGTGCAACTTTAATTTTACATTTTAAGGTTACAACCTGATATAAACTTTTTCCAAACAGTACTACAATGTTATTATATTATATTATATTAATAATACAATAATATTAATGCAATCCAAACAGTGGACAAGTATCTTCCAGGTCTCTTTTGAGATGTTATCTAAACAGCAGACACCCATATTCCCCAGTTCCGGGATATACCAATTCCAAGGGAGGCATCTCTCTAGGACATGCATCTCCAGGAGCCAAACGTGGCCTACAAGTTCTATTAGATGTTACGATGGATTTTCCTTTTCATGCATAAGGTGCATAAATATCTCACTTGTACTTATGAGTGCAACAGAAAAAAGAAACATTGACTTGATCTTTGATACTTATGAATAATTTTTATGCACTTTCATATTTTGCAATTTGCAGAATGTAATCTCGATTCCCAGAGGGCACATTCCCTTTTATGGGGACCTTCTTGGGGAAGTACATGTTTCCATTACAATGAAGACTAATCATTCTTCTTCCTAATGTCCCTTACTCTTCAATCAAGGTGGAAGGGTTCATCTCCGCTACTTTATATGGAATGTGGAAATATTTGTAAAGTACATTCACTATAGTTATATCAACATATAATTGATACTAGTTATGATTAAATGTGATTTGCCCAAATGGACCAGTAAGAGAAATCAAATATATGGAAACACATCCAATATTTGTGGGGTAATCTTTTGTATCAAATATTGTAAAGTTGGTTTAGAAATTTTGTTCTAAATTGTCTTTGTTCTGCACAGCCAGGAGATTGCTGATGGAGTGACCAGGTCAACTCGGGTTGTGAAAGCTGCAGAAGCAGGGATTAGAAAAATTGGTGCTTTAGCTCGGGATCAGACAATGTGTATGTTTCTTGGACTGGCCTTAAACCTCCTACTTTCCTAGAGTTATGGTTGCATGTCTCCATGTTTTTTGGTCGTCTCAAGATAATACTGCTAGATTTCAAAAGAAGCTATTTTTCATGATATCATGAGAAACTTCTCCATTTTTGTTCTCTGATTGAAATTCCTGATTAAATGTTTGGTTTACCATAAAATAGAGGCTTTTATTTTTATATAAGAAAAACATAAGTTATTAGTTTACCATAAAAATAGAGACTTTTGTTTTTATATGAGAAAACTATAAGTTATTAGTTTATGAAAGTCACATGAAAATACAAAATATAGAAGGTTATAGAAACTCAAATTTTAAAAACATGATGAAAAATAATTCTGTAGTTTCTATTTTTGGAGCTTCATTTCTTCTTAAAAAAAATTAATTTCTTTTAATTTCTTCTATATTTTCTCAAGAAAAATAATAAATATTGAGATTCCCCAGAGAAATTCCCTTGCCAAGAAATTACCAAGAGCAAGATTTGTCTCTATGGTTGGATAGTTTGGTGCAAGCTGCTTGCACATGTTTTTAATTGAACAAACACACTCGTGCATACACCAGGAAGTAGAAGGGATTCAAATAAGAGTAAGCCACATAAATATAGCCATCATATTACCATCATGGGATTCACTGACCAATATCTAGAATTTAGAGTTTCTTTGGCCATTTCCTTAAATAAAATTTAGGGTTCACTGATCCATGTCCAAAACTTGGGAACTTTTTGCCATCTCTTTGGGATCTGACTTCCATAAAATCATGCCTCAAATTATAACTGTTAGTTGTGTGCTTCGTATACTTGGACAGCTATGATTCAAGAGCGTGCGAGTTTGCCAAAAGTTTCTTTGCAGCCCATGGTCGCAGGTGCTGCGAAGAAGACGTCGCGTGCTATGGGACAAGCAAAAAAGACATTCATGAACATCATTTCTCGGGGATCTGACTATGAAGAGACTGTACCTGAAAGTTTGGATGTATGACCCATTGATCAGTTATTAAGGTGAGTGATTTTGTAACTACATAATGATTTATTGTTTTAGATTCCAGATAATTATTTCAATTATATTTTGGGTTTACAAACGTGAGGGAGGGAGACCATTTTTAAGAAAGAAGATTCTATGCTCATGCATGAGCATTTCCTCTTGTCACTCCCGGTGTTACCCATATCTTGGAGTATTTTAGGCTCCAAAACTTTTGGTGATGTAATGTTTTCAACCTAGAGACCAACTTCAAAAACCATGAAACACATTAACATATCTAAATGTGCCCACAAAAGATAAGGCTGTAAAATAGGTGGGAGGCCATCCAATATTTGGACAGCTAAATCTAAGTATTTGAGAACTTAAAATCCAGTTTGTTAATTTATTGAAAACAGTTATTTGATGATCCTTAGTTGGGGGCCATCCAATATTTGAACAGCTAAATGTAAGTATTTGAGAACTCAAAATCCAATTTGTTAATTTATTTAAAACAGTTATTTGATGATCCTTAGTTGTATCTCAAAACTTTAGATCGAAAAAATAGTCCCAAGTAGCTCTCTCATGCTCTTTCATGCCAGGCAACAATATTTTACCAAAAGGAAGCGAATGTACAGGGCGTTCTTATGGGGCAAATTCTTTTTTGAATAGTACCTCTCTCATGCTCTTTCGTGCCGGGCAACAATATTTTACCAAAAAGAAGCGAATGTACAGGGTGTTCTTATGGGGCAAATTCTTTTCTGAATGTTAACAGTTACTTTCATTAATAAAAACTCAAAACATTTCTTGCAGTGTATTCGTGTACTGCAAACATTTGAAAAGATTATGAAGTCCTATGCACAATATAACATACTGTATAACCCAGCGATGGGTCAGTTGTGTGAACTGATACCCCACGATTAACACAGGTCAGCTGCTGCTTTTCCTTGCTCGACTAAGGGCCCACATTTCCTGGTAGCTGGAAGTTCTAGAAGTCGGAAGCTCGAACTTATTGCAGGAGTAGTATTCTGGGATGCCACATAGGTGTTGGGCGAACTCCGGATCATCCGATCAAAGTCAGATAGCTGGGTATCTTTGGAGACATATGAAAGATATATTACCACATTTTAGTTGGGCCAATTTGCAGCCATCTTATCAAAACTGATGTTTGTGTCTCTAGACACATTTGAAAGATGTGTCTAGAGATACATATGTCATTCCTTATATTGTTTGCTTAAATGATCTCTCTCTATATAGATAGATAGAAAAAGTTTATATATGGTTGCAAGCATTCTGACTCATTATAAGATCGTTGACTTATTATGTAGGTCACATTTCCCATTTTTTGGGGTAGAGACAGATGTATTTATAAGGAAAAGAGACTTGGCGAGGAAATTGATTGAGAGAATTGGAGAGGAAATTGAGAACAAGAGATGGAGAGAAAATCAAGGAGATAGATTGACTTTCATTTTCATTCTCCATTTTTAGGAAGGGCGAGAGAACCCTTTTGTAGGGAATTTATATGTTTAAGAAAGAAAAGTGAGAGAAGGGAAAGAGAGAACCCTTTTGTAGGAAATTTATATGTTTAAGAAAGAAAAGTGAGAGAAGGGAGAGAGAGACGTAGATAGATATAGCTACAAAGAAAGCCAAAGTTTTTGGGAAATACAATAAATTAAAATCTAAATAAATATCTTATAGTAGGTGGGGTGGAGAGTACATGATATATAAAAAGGTTTTAGTTGAGAGGTGTGAGAAAAATTGGTTGAAAGAGAGAACCTCCTATGCATTGTTTATTATTATTTTTATTTATTTGTGCATTGTTTATTATTATTTTTATTTATTTGTGTTTGATTCTGCATAGATATCTTTTAGAGATTTTTTAGAGATTTCTTTGTTGATTTATCTATTCTTATAAATATTTTTATTTGTTTATTTATTGTGGATGTATTTGTATTGAATTCGTTATGCTTAATAATACTATATACATATTTAATGGTACAACAATATTTATATTATTTATTTTTATGTAACTTTAACATCATGCATATTATTATATAATTTACTGAGAATTAATCTCGCAGTATTTATATTTGACTTTTACTTTCTCGTGCTTTTAATGTCCATAACTTATCTCTCTTTGTTAATACATTTTAAAATATGAAATTGAAAATTTTGGCCAAAGTTCTATGCCTAAAAAATAGATTAATAGATTATGACCAATTTTCATATTTATTATTATGAATTTTTAGATACATAAAAAATCTATTGATATGAAGAGATGAAAGAGGTATCCATCTTTTGTCATTCATTTTTGCTTAAATACATTTCTAGATTTAATAGTTTCTATGTCGATCCCTTTCCTATTACCTTTTAGGATTATTTAAAAGGAAAAGTTTATATAGAGCTGAGGCTCTAAACAATCAAATTTGAACCTACTTCGAAAATTTCACTCGAAGAGGTTGTTTTGATGTCCAAATGTCTTCAAATCGATCATTTCGACATCAAGATGCATAATCGTAGAAAAAAATGGGTTTTAAGTTTTGGAAATGGTGTATTTTGTAACGCATTTTTAGACCATCAACTTTCAAGATTTTTCAGCTTTCATAGATTTGTCGGTTTACACTATTTTTTAAGCTTTAAACTTTATAAATAAATATAAAAATATATTTTAAGGGTATAAAAAAGATTTTCAGTATTGAAAGCACATTTCTCGACAGTATTTGAAGGAAGGCTCTAATTTGATTGTTTAGAGCCTAAGTTCTATTTAAACCGCACCCTTATTTAAATTACTCCAGCTATTTTATTTCTAATCATAAATCCCTACACTTAAAAAAGTTATTCCAAAAATTGCTTAAGAAATTTTATATTTCAATGACAAACTTTCATGCTCTTAAAATTTATTTTAACTTTATGAGGGGAGGCCCTACACAATCAAATTAAGGCGCACCTCAAAATTGGGAGGTTGTTTCGATGCCTATAAATCCTGAACTTGATCATCTTGACCTCAATATGTATGGACATGAGAAGAAATAAATATAAAGTGTTGGAAATAGTGAATCGTGTAATGAATCATCTAGACCTTCAATCTTCAAGTGATCTACACTATTTTTTAGTCTTGAAATTTCATAATTAGATATGAAAACAATTTTTCAAGCCATCATAAAGATTTCTGATACTGAAACAATATGTTTCGATACTATTTGAAGGTGCGCCGTACTTTGATTGTTTGAGAGGTAGTATACAATATGCTCCCACCAAGCGCATGGGATACATACTTTAGAATTTTCACATGTCAAGGATTCAAGCTACAATGGGCCCTATTAATTTTAGGGATTGTCTATGAAGATACTATTTATCTTTTGTACATGGAGGTCACAATCATTCTTGTCCCCTAAATTTCAAAATGGGTGGTTGTAAGAGTGTCATTGAATAGACACAAAGTTCAGACTTCGTGACTTACCCCAAGCCATTCAATTTGACATCTAATAAGTGAGAATTCTTGTGACCTCCATGTATAAAAGATAAAGGGGAAAATTATATAAATATCCATTATATTTGTTGTTATTACGAAAATACTTGAAACTTTCCGCTATGATACTGATGCTCATTTTTTCAATTTCATAACACTATTTTAAATAAAAGACAAAATTTCTCATTTTCGATTTTTAAAAATTGAATTTTTTAAATATCAATATTATATATGATCAACTATTTAAATGTGGTGGGAATTGGCTTTTAGGTTATCATGTATGCCTCTGCACTTTCGCGTCAAGCATTCAAATCACCCCATATGCAATCTATTTTTTTTAATAAAAAATGGAAGTTTTTATTTTATTAAAAACCCAAAAAACAAAAAAAGGCCATCATTGAATATGTATGGATTTTCAATTATCATGCATGCTTCTACACTTTCACGTCAAGGGTTCAAGCCCCTCCATCTGCAATCTAAATTTTCTTAATAAAACAAGGAATTTTTTATTTGATTAAAAAGCAAAAAAAAAAAAAACCCATCATGGAATGGGCATGATTTGACACCAAAACTTCTTTGAAAAAATCATATGCTTTTTACCGATATGCTATTTGAGTAATAGTATTTAAAAGTTGGTATCATATTATATATACCTTATTATTATTATTACTTTATTTTACATGCCAGATTTGCCAACTATAAATGCTACAGTGAAAAGAAGTTTATCATTTCTTAAAAATGAGAAATGTGGACTTCTAGCATTCCACATGGAAGAAGAGTAAATTAACCAAAATACGGGAAATGCACATTTCTTTTTTTGGACTGTTTTTTTATTTTAAAAATATTTAAAACTTCCAAATTGTTTATTTTTATTTTTTTGAAATCAGATCAAGGTGAAATTTAAATATCATTCAGTAATTTTAATAAAAATATATAAAAAAAATTATATAAAATAAAATGATTAAAATATCGAACATAGTTTTTCAAAATCCCCATATTTCGAGGGTGCTTGACCAAACTTAAACATTTTCAATTATCATGTCCTCAATTTTCTGCATTCCAGATTTTAGAATTGGTAACCTCCGATATTGATTCCAAACAGCAGTTGCCAAACGATCATTAAAGACTAATAAATGCCTATAAATTATTAAGGGGGTTTTATACATATTGACCGTAAAAAATCAAACAAAAACATGATTTCACTTCAAATATTTGTAGGGTTTTGCTATTTTATTACGACGGAAGTTTGAAGACCATACTTGTTCCTTATTGTATATCCTTATTGTTTTAAGAAAGGGTCGACTTTCCATCCGTAGGTCTAGGTGCACCTTCAAATTTGTCATGGTATATAATTTTTATGTAAAATGTTTTTAGGAGTATCTCAAAATCTATTTTTATATCTAATTATAAAATTTTAAATTTAAAAAATGGTTAAAATCAAATAGATCTATAAACATATAAAAATCTTGAAAATTGACGGTGTAGATAATATGTTGTAAAATGCACTATTTTTTAGACTTAAAATCTTTTTATTTTTCATAGTCATACATCTCAATGTGGAGATCATCAATCATTTCGACATTAAAACTACCTTCTCCGATGGATTTTTTAGGGGCATCCGTAGTTCTACATTATAAGGTAGCATTCTTATATGAACTTTTTCCTTTAAGAAATGGCAATTCTCCAAAATTTTGAAGAAAATATTCCTTGGGGACATCTATATATTCCTCTTGCGCCTGCAACATAGGATCACTGAATTCATGTTGTAGATCTCAGCTTTTTCCTTCATGATTGCCTTTTCAAGAGAGTTTACTGAATCTTTATGAGTTTACCAAGAATAACA